CGTAGTACTATTAATATGATTTTACATGTAGGGAAACCAGGTGATTTAATTAGCAAAAAAATACTATGTGTCTATTTATATACCTGCAAAGATCCTGAATTGTGATCAATCAATAACAAATCCCCCATGAGTCTCAATACATAGACAAGAAACTGTGTCTCTTGTGTTTTTCATCCCCAACAAAGATTTAGTGACCCCGGGTACCCCTGATGCTGGGTCCACCTGACTGGAAGATGTGTAGCATCCTCAGCCGGATCTGCTTGGTCTTTATGGTGTAGACAACTGGATTGAGCACTGGAGGTGTGAGAAAGTGCAGATAGGAGAGCAGTACACGGCTACACGGAGAAGCCCACTTCCCAAAACGGTGGATCATGGACAGCCCAATCATCGGGGTGTAGAAGAGCAGCACAGAACAGATATGGGAGACACAGGTGTTGAGCGCTTTCAGGCGCTCAGCCTTCGAGGCAATGGACAGCACTGTGCAGAGGATCAGCCCGTAGGAGAGAACAATGAGCACCGAGTCCACACCCAGAGTGGAAAGAACCACGAAGAGGCCATAGGCGCTGTTGACGTGGGTGTCAGTGCAGGCCAGCTTCATGACATCGGGGTGCAGGCAGTAGGAGTGGGAGAGCTGACGCTTCTGGCAGTAAGGCAGCTTCCGCAGCATGATGGGGGCCGGGATGTGGAGACCAATGCTGCGCACCACAATGGCCAGGCCCAAGCTGGCAATCCGGGGGTTGGTGAGGATGGTGCCATACCGCAAGGGGTTACTGATGGCCACAAAACGGTCAAAGGCCATAGTCAGCAGCACAGAGGACTCCATGATTGAGAAAGTATGGATGAAGAAGAGCTGGGCCAGGCACGTGTCCACTGCCACCTCCTTGACACCCAGCATATAGATGGTGATCATGGTGGGAAGCGTGGAGGCCGACAGGCCCAGGTCAGTCACTGCTAGCATGGACAGAAAATAGTACATAGGCTGGTGCAGGGAGGTCTCTGACTTCACCACCCACAGGATCAGGATGTTCCCTGCCAGAGAGGCAGTATACATGGTCCACAAAGGAATGGAGAACCATACATACACAGCTTCAAGGCCTGGGAGGCCAGACAGGAAGAAAGAGGTGCTGGACTGGTTGGAATGGGACATGATGACTCTGTGGAAGGACTGCAGGAGCAAGTGTATTCACAAGGCCTGGGACCAAATGAGGTGGTGGGTTAGAACTTCAGGAAAGTTGTACATTACAAAGTCTCTTCAAAAATGTTTCTCTGACAATCAGCCCTGAAAATTATCCCAGCTTTCATCTAGTTCATAAGCAAACATGTCTTTTTTAAACAAATATTAATTTGGTTAGTGATTAGAAGAAAGTTTATGTACATAGTAAGGAGCTATGTGAGACAGTCATCCCTAAATCAGAACTTGCAGTGTGTCTTACAAAGGAACTAAGAACATATTGATTTACATCTTCATTGTACACATGGGGAAGTGAATTCAAGTCTCTAACATAGCTGTTGCATCAGACCTGGAGCCAGAATTCAGGTGTTCTCCCTTCCTGTTCAGTTCTTTATCCTGTCTTTCATTAGAGACTCCTATATTTTAGTTAAGAGGACGGTTTTACAAATATTTCTTCTTTCATAATTAAAGCAAGAGAGAAGATAGAAATTCCCTCCTCAGGCAAACTCACTCACGTGAACACACAAATGTAGTGTAAATGCATATGTAATTTGAAATGCTAAACTAAGTAAAAAGACTTTAGACTTTTATACATACATGGACAGTCCTCTAAGGGGGTGCATCAGTATGAGCCATTCTTTAAATGGAAGTTTTCTTTGCTCATTTTGTTTTTTTTTAAAATATTATGCCTACTATTTTTTTTCTGTGTATGAGTATACTGGCTGCATGTATGGAAGTGTACGCACTCATGTCTTGCAGTGCCCACAGACGCCAGAAGAGGGCATTGGATTCCCCTTGAGCTGGAGTTGCAGATACTTGTTAGTTGCCGCGTAGGTTCTGGGAACTGATATCAGGTCCTCTGGAAGAACTGCACTATTCTTGACCACTGAGTCATCTCTTCAGCCCCTCTTTACTCATTTGGACTAGACATCTTAAAGTTCATCTCATTCTATGCTTTTGAAACATAGAATTTTCAACTATGACCCCCCCCCACAAGAATGAAAATGTGTCTTATTCCTCTAAGAACAAGGGCTCAAATACACTTGTAAACTAATTTTCAGAGCTAGGAAGTGATTTGAACGTGACACTTTTTTCTGCCCTATGTTCCCATTTTTCTCTTTCATTTCTTGATGTCTTAACTCCTTATATTGAATCCACTCAAAGTTTAATATTTTGACTACAAAACTAGCTTTGAAAGATTTTTGCTTTCCTTCCTAATCATAGAGGACAGAACAAGGTTTCTGTAGGATCCTGAAGGAAAGTATTACAAAAGAGCAAACAAAGACAGGTTCAACTTTCAGGGAACTTATTAAATCATGTATTTAGTTGGTGATTCATTTTTTTCTAAAACTACATTAATTTTACCTTAATAATATCATCTGTTCCTCTCATTTGCCATGCAATTCAGTAAGGATCATCATAATGAATGCTTTTTCTTCTGCAGATGAAAATATACTAGTATGATTCACTGCACATGCCCGTCCCTTAAAGCACTGCATAAAGCAATATTACATGTACCATTTTAAAACCCCTCAACTCTCATTTGTGGACAGATTAATTTTTGTGAATTAAGAAACTCTTGTTAAGAATTCAAGTCTATAATTTTGTCATTTGTATAGTAAAAGGAGGAGGCAAACCTGAAAATAAAATTAAGTCACCTCCTGTTTTGTATTCTGAATATTTGGTCAATATCTGCAGTCAAACATCAAATGTTAATGAATGGACTCCAGGTATTACAAAACTTATTCTTAAATCAAACATATTAAATTGCCCATCATTTCTGTTTCTTTGATTTCTTGAATGATTATCATTTCTGGTTTTCCCCATGTAATTTACTTTGTTACCTCTTAATTAAATGTTTGTGATTTTATATAGTAATTAACCTGCACTAAGTAATGTTTTAGATGCAGGGGTGAGAGATTTGAAAGAATAACAAAGTCCCCATATAAAAGAAAAAATAACCATTATAAGCAAAATTGCTTCAAAAAGTAGACAAAGCAGATCAAAGGAAAGGGACTGTTAATTATATTGGAAGTTCATGGAATAGCTTTTTGAGGAGGGGATATTTGTGGCAAGAGAACTTAGACCACCAAAGTCAACTCAGTCCCTTAAGAACACTTCATGTCACCTTGCAGATTGAGAGCCAACTCCTTGCTGTACTAAATCTTTATTTACTCTGAAACTGGTGATCTGGGCTTAGTGCTGTTACTATAAATGAGAGCTTGTAAAAATGTATCATTTCAGGTCTCTCTTAACCCCTAGTGTTCTCTCAATTGAATTCCAGCCTTTGAAGTTTCAGTAATGCCTTGAGGTAATTTAGCTGCCCACAAAAGTTTGAACTGCTTCCATCAACTGGTATAGGATTGTTGTAGAGACACTGACTGTAATGTTGTCAAAGCCCCATTAAAACAGGTGGAAGAGAGGGGAGGGCCTGCTTTAGACACAAAATTTTATCCTTAAAACGAAGCTCTAAGATGATTCCAGGAAGCATATTCCTGTACAAATGCAGATGTTTTTACTATAGATCATTAAGCACCCCAAATTGATTGTAATAAATAATGATCCATGAAGTTCCTGAGTATTTATTGGAAAAATACCAATTCTTTACTAATGCAATCTGTATGGGTACTAAACTATGTTGCTGTTGGAAGCTGAAGAAAATATGAAAGAGAGAATGAAATAATTTAGGAAATCGACTGGAATGAATTGGGCATTCAAAGCCTTTCAAAGCTCTATATGATTGGATACTATTCATATAAGCACCTGCCTTATTTCTTGAAATTAGAGAAAAATATCCCTTCAATAAACAAAAAGATTTCTTGATTTGCCTGTGGATTGCATATGCAAAGACATAAGTACAACAAATATCCTTAGTGGAATACTTGACTTTGCTTCACTTTGCCTTTGGAAAGAAAAGACATATGCATATAGACAGCAAAATTTCCTACACACGGACCAGCTCATTCTGTGTTTTTTATGCTCAGATATTACCTAGAAGACAGTTTATGAGTGTATATAGTCATTTTGTTGTTTAAATGATTTATTCATACTTGTTGGGTGAAGGGATTTAATTTTACGAAGAAGAAGAAGAAGAATATGATAGAAAATTCAGGCCATCTCTTTCTGGCTCTTAGCCGCAATATAAAAACAAGGGAAAATAAAGTTGAAGAAAACTAGGACTTAAGATGAGATATTTCTACAAAATGTTAAGAACATACTATGGATTTCCCCCTTTGGAGAGACACCCCTTTTGGCTTGCTAGCAAATTTTCAGTCTATTAGGGTAGGATAGGACAGAAATAGAGAAAAGCCATGTTGGATTTTTCAAGGCTGATGTCTATAGAATTCAGAACAAGAAGCCTTCTTCCATAGTAAAATAAGAAAGCAATAAGAAAGAATTTTCATATCTAAAAATAATTCTCTTAATTTTATGAATATATATTTAATACAGCTATATACCTAGATATGTCTATCTATATATCAAATTAGATGATAGATAGATAAACAGATAGATAGATAGATGATAGTTCAACATGTAGATACTTTCTTTTACAGCACCATACTAATTTTAGTCTTCTCAGATCAACAAAAAGGAATTAGAATACTAATTCCTACAGCATATATAAATCACAAAGCATTGTATAATGGTAAGTTAAAATGGCAGAATGAAAATATTCTGACATTATTATTTAGAAGGTAAATAAAACTATTCTGATTTGTCTTTATTTTCCCTATACTATAAAGATGCAAGGTAATTTTTCAAGGATAATTATTCAAGAATATAGAGATATTGCATTTAACCTTGACCATCCTAGATTTATTGATTCATTTCACATTTCTTATACCCTCTATTTTAAGAGAATGAAAAGGACATTGGACTATTCCCCAAGTCAGCAACTCCATATTGTCATTCTGTCACTAAACTTTTCCTAATTTGAGTTGATGCCTATGGAGGTGCGTGGAATTACATGTCTAGAAGTTCATGGCCATGCAGATCATGATGCATTTAAGGCATGGAAACTATTGTTGGCGAGTTGCTAGTCTATCGACCAATTTCATACTTTGCTTCAGTACGCATATCTGATAAGTTCATTAGGAAACCCTTCTACCTGCTCCACGATGGTATCTGAAGATAAAACATCTTTTTTGTTGTTGTTCCTCGAAATCCCCAATAATTTGTTTTCAATTATGAAAATTACTTAGTTCAAACTTTTTACCAGATATTAATCTTGGCATATGGCTTTAGTCCTTTGTTTTAAAAAACTCTATTAACTCACCCACAAAGAAATAGGGACAGAGAACATTTCCCTTCCTCAGGAGTCTAGTGGCCAGGAGTCTTCAGCAAAGAGTAATTTTACAGCAAATTAGCCAATACGCAAGTCATCCCCTGATACATACAACAGGGACCATTGAATTGGAGACAGCAACAACTTTAACCATGTCACTGCTAAACATAGTTTACAAGTGATTTGTAAACTGTTGTGACTGGAAATCGTGACGGTGCATAAATCTGAGTTTTTTAATGTTGCTGAGTCCCTTAAAATATGTCTAAAATGTCATTATTCTGTTGGAGAGGACAAGATTCCATATCTTCTAGACCTGAATTAAATTATCTCCACTGCTTGCAAGTTCTTTCCCCATTGGCACATGATTTTGAGACTATTTTTCATGTCTATGCAATACAATAACACAATATTTGTGAGTTAACAACAATGATTTTGGAGATAAACTGTGTGTTTGAAACCTAACCCAAGACAAGAGTTTCTGAGTCTGCTGTTTAGCCTCTGAATAATTTCAATGATTTCACTGGAATAGTGAAAGAATCTAATGCAAAATATTATATTGACTAAATGTAATATCCCATTAAAAACTTTGAACATTTTCCAGTCCTCAGATAACTAGAGTTTACTCTATTAAGATCTTTAGCTAGGCTGAATAGGCTCCAGTAGATGAACTTGCACCTAAGGACATCAGGTAAAATGCTTGACTGGATGGGACGTGACATGTATGGCAGACTACATGAGGGCTGGTGGGAGGTATGAGAGCATGGATTGGGGAAGGGACCTTAATTTGATTAATAACTGTTGTATGAAATGTACAAAAGCTCAATAAAAATATTTTTAAAATAAATACACGATATTCCTATATATGAAAATAATGTCCTATATTTCTTTAAAAGTTTACATTAAACAATAAACTATTGTCATTAAGACTATATAAATACAGCAAAGAAACTTTCTATTATTTCACTATAAATAATGAATATTTAATAAAATGGCACATTGTTCAACTTTGGCAATATAGTGCTACAGTTCAATAGAAATCACCAAGTTAGCCATAACATTAAATACAAAAAAAGATAGCTGATGCTTTTTCCCTCTAAAACACGTTTCCTAAATTCTCTGTCTTACAACATGAGTATAAAAAGAAAGAAATCTGATGTACTTGTGGATATATATATATAT